CGCTGTGGCCGGCTGCCTCTGATACAGAGGCAGCAGCGTGGAGTGGCAGGGGGCTCCTCGGGATTGGGGCTGGAGCACACTGGATGCCGGCCCCACCCCTGGGGACTATAAAATAGTCAAGTAACCGATAAGAATTCATGAGGTTAATCGACTATTCAATTAAATGATATTAAACATCCCTATCCGACTGTGGGCCTACCTCTCTCTATGTGCACACCCATACGACCACAACCTGCACCCTCCTCTAACTGCAAATCGATACCAAGGCCAGAAAGGACGACTGTCAAAATCTAGTCTGACTTCCTGAGTAACACAGCACCTTAAGATGCAAATGTTCCCTCTAATTTTTTCCATCCATGGGCAGAATAAATTTTGTTCTGTGCACCAAGGCATGCACAGATGTGCACCACCAGTAGAAAGCCATTCTGCCGGCTGTGGACACTCTGTTGATCAGCTGGGAGGCATTGGAATTGCTTGTGGGTGGCTGCCCAAGCGCTCAGCTTACAGGGATGTCTCTGAACTAATTTCTGTTTGAACTGGAAGGGATCTTTTAGGAGAAAAAATAAACCATCCAAACCTGAATTAAAAATTGCCAGTGATGGAGAATCTACCACAGTTACCCCCACTGTTAAAAAGTCACATTGTATTCACAGTCTGAGGTTGTCTTCAACTAGCCGCCACTGGATCTTGTCAGACCTTGCTCTGCTCGCCGGAAGAGGCCTCTATTATTAAACATTTGCTCCCCGGGTAAGTCCTTTCAGACTCTAATCAAGTCACCCCCAAGCCCACCGACAGGGAGTGCAAAGGGGAAAACTGCCCCAGGGCCCAGCAATACAAAAGGCTTAGAGCGTGGCCACTGCTGCTGTGGTGCCCGGAGCTCCAAGCCCTTTAAATCACTGCCGGAGCACAGTGCAGTGCGCTCTAGGCAGCGCTGAGGACTGGGGGCAGGAAGGGGGGGCCGCAGAGGGTTGTCTGCCTTGGCCCCACCCCTTCTGCTTGAGGCTCCGCCCCTTCCAGGGCCCCCTCTTACCTTGCTCAGGGGCCTGGTGAGGCTGTCAACCCTGAACCTTTTCTTTGTCCAGCTACAGTGACTGAGCTCCTAGACTCTCACTAGATGGCAGATTTTCAGCCCTTCCTGTGGCTCTTCCTGACCCCTCTTCAGTTTATCAACATCCTGCTGGAATTGTGGGCACTAGAACCGGATGCAGGATTCCAGCTGGGGCTGCACCCGTGTTAAATAGAAAGGCAGAATAACCTCGCTGCCCCTACTCCAGATTCCCCTGTTTATGCATCCGAGTATCAAGTTAACCCCCCACCCTTTTAATGGAGGGTTTATTCCTCTGTTCTCTCTGGGATCCCCAGCAATTTCCATTTCCACTCACTCTTAAATCTCTGTAGCATTGTCCTCATCTCCAGGAAGCTGTATCTAGTCTTCACGTCAGTGGGCCTGGCTTCTGGCTCCCAGAGTCGGGCCGTTTCAGCTCTACCAGGAGAAATGCCTTGTTATCTCAGCTCCCAGCACAACCGCCCTTGCAGAAATGGAAGGGAGATGGACCGCAGCTACCTACCTGCTCAGCGAATGCCTCGCCCACTGCAGAGGGGAAAGGGAAAAGAATCAGTGTCGGCTGTGGAAAAGGCTTGTTTAGCAAATAAACATTTTTTAATTTGGGGTTTTGTCCAACCTCCCCCCACACCTCACCTTGCATGTCTGAATACAACAAAATCTTTTTCTGCAGAGGGAAACAGCTCTCCTCCGGGGCAGCCTGCATACTGAACTCCTCATCCCTAGCCCCACCCCAGAGCAATGATTTAAAGGCAGCGTGTACATTTTCATTTTATTTTCCAAATAACAAAAATGCATTGAGTTAAGGACCCGAGCAACGCTGGGTAAATCGTCTAGTCATTTCCCAATCGGCTCTACCAATGGGCATCAGTTAACAGGTAGCAGGTTTAAAATGAACAAAAGGAAGTCTTTCTTCCTGCAGCGCACAGTCAACCTGTGGAACTCCTTGCCGGAGGATGTGGTAAAGACCAGAACTTTAACAGGGTTCAAAAAAGAACCAGATAAATTCATGAAAGTCCATCAACTTATTAACTGGGATGGGCAGGGATGGTGCCCCTAGCCTCTGTTGGTCAGAGGCTGGGAATGGGTGACAGGGGAGGATCACTTGATGATTCCCTGTTCTGTTCCCCCAGAAGGAACAGTCACACAGAGGTGGCAGGGTGGGATTAAAACCCAGGCATCCCACATCGCTGCCCAGTGCCTTCCTCGCCTAACCACCCCGCCTCCACATCCGACCCACTCTCACCTCTAGCAGCTGCACAGACGACTGCCGGCTTTTGTCCTCCAGCTCTGTGATGAGCTTGCCCAGGGCAGAGCACTGCTCCGAGAGGTCAGCGAGATTGGCCCATGCTCTCTGCATAAAGCCCTCCTCCTCCTTCGCCAGCTTCTCCAGCAGCAGCTGCTCCTCCTCCGACAGGAACTGGCGGATCTTCTCGAACTCGGAGACGATGATCTGGCGCTGGACCTGCACTTTCTCCTGCCGGAAGAAGTCCAAATCCCATCTGGGCGGAGGAAAAACTGCCTGCTGCTTACATGCCAACCAGCCAGCCAGCCTGCCTCTCCCCACCCGGAACATGGGTTTGAAACACAGAGAAAGTGCGGAGAAAGGGGTAGTTGGATAATTGCCCCCTTTGCTCCCCTGTCTCTGGTCGGCAGCCCTGAGCACGGCTATTGAATTGCACTCAGTTACCTCTGTCCTAAGCCCAATAACTTGTGAATCACCAAAGTGTTTTCCTGATAGGCATCCTGTCTAGATGGAAAGCCATTAAGAGATGGAGCGTCCACCAATTCCCCTAGGAATTTGCTCCAGAGGTTAATTGCCCTTGGTGTTAATAATTTGCGCCTTCTACCTCATTTGAATTGGTCTGGCTTCTGCTCCCGGCTCTCGTTCTGCCATTTGCTGCTAGATCAAAGAGCCCTTCAGTAGCCAATGTTTTCTCCCACAGAGGTATTTCGGCACCACCCTCAAATCACCTGTCTTCTTTTTGGGAAGCGAAGGAGGCTGAGCTGTTAAGTCTCCCAGGGAATCGTTGGCCCCAAAGGGGGAACTTCATATGTTGGCTCCAAATATGAGGAAGATCTTAATTCCATTCGGAAACGTCCCAGACGGGGGGTGGGGTGGGGTGGGGTGGGGGGAAATATACTGGCCTACCTTCCAGTCTGGAGTAGAGGATGTTAAAGCTGTTCACACAGCTGCAACAGATTTTGAGCTGTTCACAATGGTCTAGAGCAGCGGTTCCCAAACTTTTCGGCATCACGCCCCTCCCTTTTTGATTTTTGAGAAACACTCATGCCCCCCCACCTCCAATAGCATCAAAATTTGTTGAGCAAAAAAAAAAGGGGGGGTGGCGGTGACCGGGACTGAAAATAGCAGCAAAACTTAGAGGGGGGAGAATTGAAGGGGGGGCTGGATTTCTTCACACACACACACCCCAGTTTGGGAACCCATGGTCTAGAGTCTATATCTTGATTGGGTTACTGTGAAGTTCACAGTCGTAATGGATCTATCCAGCTTGATAGCAGGGCCAGAGGCAGATTACGGTTTTGTGGGGCCCTAGGCCAGAGCAAGTGGGGTCCCCTCCCTACCCCTTCTACCTGCAGCACCCTCCACCCCTTGGGGGGCAGAGCATGAGGGCTTTCCCGCTCCCCAGCAGGAGAGCCAGGCAGATGGGTGGGGCGGGTAGGGGCAAAGGGGGTGCCCAATTGACCAGACTCCCTGTGCTTGGGCCCCGTTGGGCCAGTGGTTAATCTGCCACTGAGCAAGGATGTGGGGAAAGGTACTTGGGGAGGGGGAGATGGATCCAGGGATGTGCTTCTCGGAAACACTGGAAGAACAATGCAAGAGCCATTCGCTTTGGTGCCCTGGCTCAGCCCTGCCAGACAGGTTTGCCCAGGCATGGCTCAGACCTGTGGAGGGAGGGAGGTTCAGCGCTCAAGGGCGAGAGAAAGGTCCCGCAGCGCTAAGGAGAGCTAGCCGGGGGGAAGTCAGACCCTGGGAGAGAGGGAGAGTTGGCAGGTTTCCAGGAAAGGGGGGGATGTGCACGGAGACCTTTTATCATCTCCGGATCCTTCTGGGTTTGTCCCCAGGGCCACACCCACAGCACGGCTGCTATAAGACGTCTGCCCGGCTTTGGAATGGGCCACTAGGCCGGTGCTCCCACATGGAGGAGACACGGGGTCTGAGCGCAGCAGACTCTCAGGATCCCACGCAGACCGATGGAGGTTCAAAGCCCACGCAGAGGGTCCCCCAGGGGACAGAGGAGCCGCATCCTAGAGCCGGGACAGCCGCGTCCCCTTACAGCTGAGCTAACGTGTTCTCCGGCCCCCACAGCAGCTACGGCACTTGCATGGGTCTATCTACCCCTGGGAGCCTGCCAGTGGGGACGGGGCGTCCGTCTCAAAGCTCCGCTCTAGCTCGGCCAGGAGTTACCGGGCTGGTGGCAGGAATCACTGGGGGAATTCTCCGGCCTGGAATAGGTGGGAGGCCTGGCCAGAGGGTCACACAGAGCCCTGCTGGCTTGGACAGCTACAGTCACGGGGCTAAAAGGGCCCCGGGCTGAGTCCCCACCGATCCCTGAGCCGGGGTCATCGCTAAACACAGACTGAGTCGCCAGCCTGTTCCTGGCTCTCATTCCTGGTGGCAGGAATCACTGGGGGAATTCTCCGGCCTGGAATAGGTGGGAGGCCTGGCCAGAGGGTCACACAGAGCCCTGCTGGCTTGGACAGCTACAGTCACGGGGCTAAAAGGGCCCCGGGCTGAGTCCCCACCGATCCCTGAGCCGGGGTCATCGCTAAACACAGACTGAGTCGCCAGCCTGTTCCTGGCTCTCATTCGTTCGCATAACGGCAG